CACATCCGGGTATATAAAACCAGGGCTCACATCCGGGTATATAAAACCAGGGCTCGAGTTATCAGAGGATTCACATGGAATTCACCCCCCCCCCACCCCCGTCCAAGAGAAAAAAATGACAAAAACCTTATTTGAAAATACACCATTCCCCCTCACCAGCCCAATAAATTATTCTGTGTAACTGTCAGTCATGTAAAGCCAAATCTACTGACCATATCAGGGGTACTGACCTGGCAGAGTCTGGATCAAAACGAACCCCCCCGATTTTATCTTCACGGACCCCTGCCACTCCCACCATCCCCGTGAAATATATATATATATATATTTTTTAAACCAAAGTAATCATACTGCCAACTGTGTGAGGATCAGAACCAACGACCCAAAGCAAACATGGGTTTATTTTTCACCCATACAGAAAGAGCCCAGTAACTGCGAGTTCAGATAATCCCAGCCTGAGCAAATCCGTACCGCTCAGCTGAAGCTTTAATGCCCCACTGCCCCCGTGGCGGCTGAAGCCCCCGTGGTGCTGTGCTCATTTCTCACGGACGTCCTCCAGCATATTAATCCCTGTACAGATCCAATCTGCCTGATGGACGGTCAAACCCACAAATGCGAAAGTACAAGTACAACCTTTAACTGTTAACGTCCCGTGATGTCTGCCCTGAGGCTGACCTGGCAGTAAAACCGCCACTCACAGACCCGAGGGCTGATTGATTTCCGCTTGGCGAGCAGCCCAGGAGGGGGCGCTGGGGGGCTGGGCATCCCAGGAGCCTGGGGTAGACCGTGGCCCTCGCTGGCTACTTGGCCTGGGTCCAAGGCAGATCGATAACCAGGAGTAAATAGTGATGCCACAATGTTTTTGTTAGGGTGGGGGAGAAGGCAGGGGGGCAAACAGATGATACCCACCCTGAACTCCCCCCTGATTAAACCCGTCCGCTTCATATCATCCTCCCCCCCAGCCCAGCGTCTAATCGAGACTGAACTGAAGGTAGCTGGAAGCAGCTTTTGGAAAGTCGAGAACAGAGAGATCATGTCACAGGATGTTTCCTGTGATGCACCGATGTGGTAACCGAACCCCCCCCCCCCCTTGGCTGCATTCCTGCCTACGACCCAGGACACTGACCTGCATGGCGCATGCTATACGCCACCCGACTTCCCTGCTGGCCCCTCGGGGGCTGCTTGTGGAGAGCAAGGCCCGGCCATTTTCTCAGGGTAAAGAGTGTGACACACGCCACTGTATAAACCAGCCAATAACTGCCCGGCCTTCTGGGACACCATCAAGACCCACTGGGGGAGACTGGGGGAGAATCGAGGAGAAGCCCAGGCTCCGAGGCGTCCTCCCCCCGCAATAAAAATACCAAAAATAAAGCAATAATCATTCACAGTAAAATTAACAAATAGGGATTTAGCAAGGATTATAAAAGATTATTAAACACACGCAAAAATAAACAGATGAAATTATGAAAAAAAATCACCCAGGTGTAGCTAGGAGGGGGTGCCGTTTCAATTCGATTAGCGAGACCCAGTTTGCAAGCAGCAGCAAACATTAATGGGCCACTGACTGACCTCTAATTAATTTAGCATCAGGAGCGAGGGAGGGGGAGGGACGACACGACAGGCAAGCTTACATAACCTTAGGGGGACTGAGCGGCGCGGCAAACTACAGCAGAACTACTGTCCCAGAGCATTCTGGGAACACACAGCACATGCCAACCCATCAGGGGAGGCGCTGAAAGAGGTTCACATGCCACTCATTCACCTACCCCTCAAACCTGCAAGTTCAGCGCTTTAACTAGTACGCCACCTGCTGTCCACAGTTGTAAGTGCATCGGCTAAGCTCCAGACGTTGTCATCATTTCGACTACATCTCAACTGAGCAGATGATTCTAATTCGGCTACTTTTCTATATTGTCGTTAAAATTCTGCTTGGATCGCCATTGCTGGGATTCGAACTGCAGATACACGGTACAATGTTGCCTCGTGCTTTAGACTGCCAGGGACGCCACATTCCACCGAAGCAGCTACAGTGAGCCTGAATTAAATTGCCAGCAAATGCCTGCGACTCGCACTCCGACCAGCAGAGGGAAGAACAGCCAAGTTAACCTGCAGATATTAGGCAGGTGATCCGTCTCACGGATCAGATTGAAGCTGAGGGACTCATGGCGCATCGATGGACAAAATCCATTTTCGGCGCCACCCGGGAGAGCTGACAGGAATTATGCCTTTCAGTTCAGATGGAGTCCAGCCAAGAGGAGGACCACCGACAGGCTCCATGGCCGCCCCCCCCTCCCAGGGTTGGCATGCCTCCCTTGGCTCTCAAGAGCTACACCATGTCTGAAGCATGTCCGTCCGAGAAAAAAAAACTCAATTACAGACTGACAAGCCAGAGCGCTGGAAATCAAGCACTGGGAGTCATTCAATAGACGCCGAGACAAGATTTATAATTAGTCTCGGGAAACGAAACCCCCCCACGAGCCAGGGTCTGGGGTCTGGGGTCTGGGGCTGCCTGTCTATCGCATCTCCCATCCCCAAGGTCTGCTGGCTTCCGCCAGCTTGCAATCAAATCTTCCTCACTCTGCCTGTGCTCGTTATTCCCAGTCGGTCACCTCGCCCGATGTTCCACGCCACCTCCCACTGAAGGCATTACCGGAAACTGCACGGAACCCCAAGGCCATTGGAACCGAAGGCTGGTCCACTGGAACCGAAGGCTGGTCCACTGGAACCGAAGGCTGGCAGAACACAGGCTGGTTTCTTCCCTATGAATCCATAACGAACGTGGCAAGACCGGCCCGGACCGTAGTGTGGTGTAGGTGACCATGGGTACCGGTACCAGTCCCGGCATGAGGGGGCGCCGAAGCGCGGAGCTACGGCATGGCTAACAGCAGGAGTGCTGCCGGGATCCTTCCCATAATCCCCCGAGCTGTCGGCCGCTCCCACCCGGGTGCATCAGGCAAGGTTAATAGAGGCTCTGTAGCATGAAATTACCATCGCTGCTCTGTCGCTAGGAGCTCCACTCTGCTCGGTAATGTCACCGTGGCAACATCACTCTGTCACACTGACATCACCCCCCACCGCGCAGTTACGCCTTTACCAAGAAGCTGGGGTATTAAAAACGTTTCACTATGAAGGCGGCAGTGAGGGGGGGTGGGGGGGTGGATGCTATGTATTGTTGATGTCGGGTCAGGGAGGGTCGGTTATTAACACAGCTGATTAGTTAATCAGGCCTCCGCAGGGTGTCACAAGCCCAGCAGCACCATTAGTGATTCAGGAGCAGGTCTGACTCCAGCCCCTGACCTGCCGAGGACACAGAGCCCAGCAGTCTGCAGACGGCTGCTGTCTGGAAGCCGTTTGCTGCTGCAGAGGGGGCACCGGGGTACGTCTGTTTTTAAGCATTTTGTAATTTCCTCAGGCATGTTCCTCGGGCTGGCTTCCAGCCCCAACGCACACCGTGTGGGATCGCGTTCCCGAGGAGAGCCCGGCCTGCCCAGGGTCCTGCACCCGAGGCTCCCTCGATGAGCTCGGGGCTGCACGAAAGCTCTACGCACTATTGGCAGGGATATTAATATCCATTATCCTCTGAATAGTATACCTAGTCGATACTCCCCCTCCCCCACGACAGGCCAAAGCTACCGGAATCCTTAATCGAAGAGTCCTGCTAGCAGCAGACAGGATGAGAGAGATGGGGTGACCATTATCGGGATCACGTGACTAAAAATATACATGTTCTGAATGAGCATCCCCCCACCCTCCCCCATCCCCCACCACAATATCCCAGAAGATGGGGGAGGCAGAAATTCACTAGCTGCTACCATATGGTGCCTGAATACTTTATAAAATCCCTCTGATAGATTTGGATAGGTACTGCATTAATGAGCTCTAACTACCGTTTCTGAAGGCCAACAAACCTAGAAAATTCTGTGGCACAGACACTAGAAGAGACGGTAAGTTGAAAGATATTAAATATGACACAGTGCAGCTGTACAGGAGCGTAAAAGCAAGGCTGCGGGTCTCTGAAGGTGCAGTTATGGTGCCCCTGCGGCTCCACCCAAACTCCTACCAGGCGAGATGATGTAGAAGAAGTTCTTGAAGTCGTCCATCCACACCTCGGCCAGCCGACGGTTATTCTTGTTGATGATTTGGCCCGTGCCCCCAGGGAAGGTGTAGGGGGTGGCCTTGCGGAACACGTGACCCACGTGGGAGCACGTGACGATCTCGAGGGTCCCGCCACACTGCCAGATCTGCACCAACGAGGGGCAAAAGGGAAAAGCGCATCTGAGGCAAGAGGCAGCAATGCTATCACCGGAGCAACGGAGAGCTACTCCAAAGCATCTACAGTTTGAGAAAGTGCTGAGATTCTTCTCTTGGCTGTTGCAGTGTCTGACATGTGTTACTTCATTGCCTCAAGGGCTCTTGCTATAAGGTGAATAACAGCAATAACAGACCAACACATTAAAAGCTGATGTGTCCAGACGTTTGACTGATATCGTACTGCCTGTCTAACAAGCTAATGACTATATTTTGAGTAGGAAAAAGAAAAAGAAATTAGTCGGGCAGTTCCTACAAAAAATAAATAAATAAGCACAAGTACATTTTTAAGTCACACAGAACCTGGTCTTTCATCCCTATAAAATGAAACAGAAAAGCCTCCCTTGAGCTAGAGGCTGCATCACAAGCAGCTGTGAAGCGGGTAGCAGCCTGTGCCCCCACCCTGTGCCCCCACCCGCCGTGTCTCCATAGAGCACTGGGGCATGTCATTAGGAGGCCTACAGAAGCCTCCTGAGGCTTCCACCTGAGGAACCTCAGCACCGTCCCAGGGCACTCCAGAGCTGCACCCTCAGACAGGCGGAGAAGATGTTGTTTATTCATTAGCCTCGCTGACACAGGGCCTGTCCGCCGGACGGACGTGACACTGGCAGTTTTGTCACAGAGACTGCAGGGATATTTTGATCTCCGCCCTCCAGGGGCAGGTTGAGGACAGTGGCCAATGGAAGCATGAAAAAACAGCGACAGACCTGACGAGCTGGACAGAGATGGCTGACAACCTCCGTGGACCAAACATCACCCTCAGAAATACATCTGGACGATGTCCTCTAATCTAAGGAGCTCCCACTTTGGCCCTAACCAGAGAGGAAAAAAACATCACGTACCCTGAAGGAGATTTCGAGATTCTCCCCTCCCCAGATGTCCATGCCAGCATCGTAGGTGCCGATCTCCTGGAAGTAGTCTCTGTCGATGGAGAAGAGACCCCCAGCCATAGTGGGCGTCCTGCCGGGGGACAAGACCGAGTCCACAGTCAAACTGCAGCTTCTCTAGTTGGATGTCTGGCCTGAAACACCAGGGGGGGGCGAGGAGCACAGCACGGCCGCTCCCCCCTCTGCAGTCGGACATCCAGGGACACCCTGATTTATTAGCGAATGTATCTGCTGGGTCTGCTATCAGCCATCAACAACTCAAGCTTGAACTGCGTAGAGTCACCGTTTGGGTCTCAATCAACTGTTGAGATGGTGCCCAAAGAGAAGAGGACTCAGAATGGGGGTCCTCTGTGGCTAACAGACCGTGACTCTCCTCTCCTCAGACGTGAGGTTACAGAATCAGTGTCCTTATCTCAGCACAACATTTACGATTCTGACATCAGCATCCACAGAGCACAGGGATTGGTCATGGTTTTGTCTAATCTGTTTGTGTTCTCAGTGCAGTTAACATATCAGCTCTATGTGGCACAGAGAGATGAAGGAACACACACACACACACACACACACACACACACACACACACAGACACACACACACACAGACACACACACTTTTGTGTTGGATATCACTGATCTCCTCATGTCTTCTTTAATCTCCCTCCTCTCTTAAGGGGTGTTGAAACTTAATGACTTGCATCACTGTCAGACTCTAAGGTCTGCAGAAACACAGACGTTCAAGGGTTTTCCGACCTGAGCTGTATCCGCGCAGAATGAGCGTGAGAGAATTAGGGGCGGTGGCATGCAGGAATCAGCATGTAAATGATTCATGAGGGCAGGACACTGGGGGAACTTAAAAGTATAAAGTAAGAAACCCTGCCTGTAAACGTGTCTGTGTGATTTGCAGGGACAGTGGGTCAATGGCCAATCAGCAGAAGATGAGAGGCCGCAGGGGGAGGGAGTAGCCAATGGCAACACTCCCTATCCAAAAGGCCTGCCCAACCGCAGAGGCCATTTCCAGAGTAACCGGAGGACGAGAAAAGGCCATAATGGGCCTCCTGGAAGATCAATAGAGGTACAGTCTGGGAGGTGCTTGTCTGCCGAGATGTGTGCTGGGAGGGTGTGTGTGTGTGTGTGTGTGTGTGTGTGGGGGGGGGGGGGTTGTGAGAGTCAGCACAGGTCCCCGTGGCCCCCCAGCGGCACACTGCCCATGTCCCCAGTCCGGCTGGGCTGACAGCAGCCTTCATTAGTGCCGGCAGACCATCCATATTCAGAACAGCATCTCTCTCTCTCTCGGCTGCCAACATCCATCAGCGTAGAAACAGAAAAACAAACGGCATATCTGAGCAGGGCGCAGTGCCGTGGGGCTCCGGGACACGCTGTGATTATACACGTCCGGCCTGAGGGGGTCGGCCCACCCCAGGACCCCCCATTCAAATGCCTAGCTTGGTGCTCCCCATGTGGAGAGGTCATGTCACCCCACCCTGAGCAGGGCGATGGCTTTTGCTCGCTGGGCTTCCTGCCACTGGACAGCAGTGCACCTGCCACTGGACAGCAGTGCACCTGCACTGCACCACCTTCCATCAGAGTTCCTGCACCTATCCAGTTTCCCCAGTCGATTCCTCCCCAAACCCTCTTCCCGAGCTCCCTCTCTCACACAACCTGTGGCTGTGACAAACAGGAACATCCCTGAGGGGGCGGGGCTTTGAAATGACGAATGAGAGGAAGTGTGGATGTTTACAGCAGGGCTACCCAACGCACCGCCAGGAAGGAGGGTCGCGCAGAGGCCTGCAGAGGCCCCGGACCCAAACAAGACAAAGGAGCAGCTGTTTAGGAACATCACTGACGGACTGACCGCTGTGGCTGCCCACAGTCTCAGGTCAGAGAACTCACAGTAACTCACAGTAACTCACAGACACCGACACCCCCTAAGCGCTGTGTAGTTTGCATGTTGATATGAGCCAGTGACGCTTCCTGCTCCTATGTGTGGAGTGACCAGCTTACGGACGGCCATGCTGAGGAATATCAGGATCCCTATTCCAGTCCAGGCTTTCAGGCAGCCTAACGATTCCATTAATTAATCACAACAGCTCCCAGGCTGAGGGCAAACCCAGAGAGTTCAGCCCGGACCACGTGGCCCCCCATGAAGGCTATCTGAAGGTAGGGCACCAGAACATTGGGTGGCCGCCTGTTCCCACGGTACAAACAGGCCTGCCCAGACTTCGGCTCTTTGGATCGGAGTCTGCAGGACCGGCAAACAACACAACAGTAAGTTAATAAAACCGGGTTCCCTGCTCCTGCTCTCCTTCCTGTCGTCAGTCAGTGTCATTATTTAATCATGGTCAGAATCATCAGAATACAGAAGACCGGGTGTAATGTGAGGGGATTTCCACCCCCATGGCAGCCCAGCTCGGGTACATCAGACCCCCCCCATCTTCACCTGTCCTGCACAGCCCCCCCATCCCCAAGGTTTCCCTGGCTAGACCCCCCAAGCTCACACAGCTGCTCAGTCTATTCCCTTCATTTTTCATTCTCCCCCCAACCTTCTTTCTCTCTCTCGTCTCTGTTAAAATAAAAACAGGACATAGATAATACAGTGGGAGGACAAGCCACTGCGTTTACTTTTAAACCCCCTTTAAGGAGGATTACAGATGACAATTATGAGTGCAGTTGGGGGCGAGGTGGGGGGGGGGGGCTTATTACAATGCCGTACACGCCAGGGAGGTGGGGAATGCGGGGGTGCGGGGGGCAGAGCTCTATACACTGAGGAGGGGCAGGTTAGAGCGGAACATGCAGGATGGAGTATTAGATGGAGTATTAGGCACGAGCACGAGCACTCTCTCCCTCCCCCATGCTATCACTCTGCCTCTCTCTCCCTCCCCCATGCTATCACTCTGCCTGTCTCCCTCTTTTCCACATTCACTCCCCCCCCACCCCACACACACCCTCTATCAAATCTCCAACTCCCCACCTGACTCCCCCATTCCCTCCAGATCCCACCAGGGG